AATGGAGAGACAGTGTTGAAGGAGAATAATGTCACGTTTGTGCATTTGATCAGGTCACATGATGCTATCAAGATGGCCATAATGCATGATCTACTGTACTGTATTTACGGCACCGCCATGCAGACAACTCTTGCAGACTCACTGACTAAAACTAGAATCACAACACGCCGAAAGACAACAAGGAGCCTGACAGTTTGGAGGAGGACAACGAGCATATCTTCGAGTCCTTAGTGAAATGAATACTGATACTTGTAGTGCTGCTCAATGAAATCCGGACGCATGAGTCAAATTTGCACCATGCACCATTTCGCAGACCAGTGTTCGCAGGTCTGTTGGGCTGCGTAACGCCCGGCGTGTACTTGAGTGACTTGACTGAATTTCATTGAGCAACACCGTAGTTACGATGCTGTCACCGTAGTTACGATGTTGTCACCGTAGTTACGATGTTGTCACCGTAGTTACGATGTTGTCACGGAAGAGTTGCATACCTGTTGCTCATGAGTGAGGACAGCACCATGAGACTGTCCTCCATCAGTGTGATTGCCTCGGCCATCACATCTCCCTTCAGCAGCAGCTCGCCACGATTCTTGAAGTTGCCGAACGCCAGCTCCTGAGTGCTCCAGTCCAATACGACCTGCTTCATCTTGGCCTCAATATCCTTTTCTTTCACAGCCGCGATACAGATATCCTACAGCAGAATGACAATGCAAACAGACACGCATAATGGGTTTAAGAACAGCGCAGTGTGATGGTGGGCCCAGGCACGTTTCGGCCAGTCATCAACGGTTTATTGAACAATCACAATTAATTTTTTCTGCGAATGCAAATGCAGTTTTTTGCCAGTTAGCCTCCGGTCTGAACCAGCTAAGAAACAATCCTATCATGTTGTACCATCCGTCAAGTGTATGCATTTCTCACCTCAATATCTTCCTTGCACTGGAGCAGCGGTGCTTCCATGATGTTGCGCAATTGAAAGTTCTCAGACTCCACGTCGAACGGATGCTTAGTGGTGTTTGCGATTCTCTCCCAATGGCGCTCCTTCATTGCCTTATTCGCCATCATTTCCAGAAGTGGACAAGTCTCATTGAAGTCGTCAATTTTCTGCTTCAGGTCGTTGAAGGCCTGCCAGTCTTTCAGGGCCTTTGGCAGTTTGCGACATCTGTTGGCAGAATGCAGACAAGGTAATATAGTTGGTGGCACCGTGAGTAGGAAAATACACTTGGCTTCAACCTGAGAATGAAGCGTCGCCAATAACAGCAGCAATGCAAGCATCAATGCCAGACAAGTTTATGGCATATCAGGAGCACCAGCACCAGCAGCAACAGCGGCAGCTTCAGAATCAGCTGCGGAAGCAGAAACAGCAGCAGCAGCAGCTTGTCACTCTGACCTGTTCTGAAAGTCCAGCAGATCGCTGTTGATCTTCTCAATGTCCACCTCTAGCCAGAGAATGTCATAGTAACCATCGATGGTGTCGTTGACAGTATTGTACAGGCTGTAGAGTTTCTGTAGCAGGTTGAGTTCCTTGCGGATACGCTGCAGGTCGGTGTATGCAGTGACTTCCAGGCCAAATAGGGCTTCTCCGTCCGAGTAGGTGTTGAACTTGCGCCACAGCTCATCAAACCGCACCTACACACAAACACACACACACATGCACAGACGGACACACGCACACACGCACAACACACACACACACACACACACACACACACACACACACACACACACATGCACATACACACACACACACACACACACACACACACACACACAAACACACACACACACACACACAAACACACACACACACACATGTACATGCACACACATACCCACATGCACATACACACACATACCCACATGCACACACGCAAGGATATACAGGGATACACTGAATGTGCATACGTCACGATGAGCAGCAGCGCACAGAGTTGGCAATTACCATGACAACTATTGCTTGTCTTACAGCAAGGGCTATTTTAAATATACAGTTGCCAGTGCAGTGAACCATACCCAGGATGCATAACAATACATGATCACCAGTACGCAAACAGAGCACATGGGCTGACTGACTAGGCGGCGCAGGGCCGTCAACTGCATGTCCTGCTTTTGCAATGACAATGGTGCTATGGACTGTGACGGTTGAAGCAGCAGTAAAGTCATGCCGAACGGTCCGGTATTCACTGCATTTTCTTTTGAGGCAAAAGGATCAACTGGGCACTCATTCTAGACAAACATCAAGGCCAAGGTGTGCCATAAAGTGCAGACAGTAAATATAAGGTGGTAGGCAAGGTTCTAAGAATGTTCTCTCATACCTGGTAGACCTGCAGACGCTCGCTGGCCTCCTGCGGCTCAATGCCGTCTACCATTGGACCACTCTGGAGAGGGAGGGACAAGAGAACCAAGGTGACACAATTGTACGTGTGCTGCAATCGACACGACCAACATCATCTTCACCACCATGCCACAGCGAATTCACAAACTGAGTGTGGGAACATGGCATCATCATAGCACATCCAGGAACACATTTTTTCTTTCTTTTTCTTTTTACTAATTCCACTCATGCTCTCGAATAAATGTGGAAAGTGGTGGCGGGCCCTACTGCTCAGCCGACCTTGGCATATGGCAAGCGCGGAAGCAGCAATGCACACAGCACCATCAGCAACATCACGAGCAGTACGTACAGCAGCAGCCATACAGGCAACAACAACAACATCACTGCGACCGTCGGTACCAACAGCAGCACCAGTATCTAAACCAGCAGGAGCAATATCAGCAACTACCAGCCTGAACTACATCTCACCGTTCCGTAGTCATCATAGAAGCTTGTGGTGTCCGTTGCAAACACTGTGACCTTCTCCAAAAGGTCCGTGCGATACTCTGTCTGAATGCTCACCAGATGATCGGAGACGGTGATCGCCGACGCATTGAGCTTCTCCCAGTTGTAGCGCAGCGTGTCGACTCGCTCGGCCTCTTCTCGTGCTACGGCGATGTCATGCTTGCTCAGCATAGCGTAGGACTCCTGCACACGGGAAAAAAATGTAATGAGGTCAGCTACATTGGACAGTGTAGCACACTACTTGATGACTTTCGGCTACATTGCTACATTGCCCATCTTCTGTACTGTAAGTCCACAAATATTCGGCGCAGATTTATTTTCGGCTATTTTCGACCTGGTCATGTTCGGCCGAACATTTTGTTTTGCAAGGTTCAGGGTGACAGTGTATACAGGCGGCAGCAGTACAGACCGAAAATTTGATGCGGCCGAAATGGGTTTTAGCCCTGGGGAGGCCGAAATCTGAATGAGCCGAAACCTTTGTCGACTTACAGTATTGTGACTCGCATGTTGATTATTGTTTGGAGGGAAGCAAACCAGCACACAAAGCAAATAAGCCATAATATGACATAACCTTTCGGGTCGAATACAGTGGTGATTGGAGCCGCTGCAGGCAAGTAAGTAATGTAACGAAAGGCCTAGTCGAAACTATATGGCTTCTGTGATTTGTGTGTTGCTTGACTCTCATATACAAAATACTTTCATCCACAAATTTATTAATTACACAGTACAGCATGGGAGAGAGGCTAGTTCGGTGCATCTCTGCGTTCCACGCTCACATCAATATGACCATAAGGAAATCTAAACTTATTCAGCATCAGGTCCAGTGATTGAAAGAGGGGGGGGGGGGGAGTTACATAACATTTAAAAGTTGGATCATTTCAGATGTTAGGTGTGCTTGTCCGCCTCACACAAAGCAACTTGTTTGCAGAGTGTGTGTGTGTGTGTGTGTGTGTGTGTGTGTGTGTGTGCCTGTATTTATCAGCGAGAGCACTCACTTCAACTGGTGACAGGCTCATATCTATCCCAATCTCCTGCTCTCGGAGATCCTTCAATGCACCCATGGCCGTGCGAATGTCATCCAAGTCCTTGATATTGCGTCCCAGCCGCTTGCCGCAGTCCTCGATGAAGTCGAACGTCTTCTCCATGACGGCTCGGAACTTTTCGTTGACACTCTTTCCAAATAGCTGCTTCCACGCGTGGCATTCAGCAACGAGAGCATGCTTGACTGGCGCTGGAGAAGGCAATGCAGACAGCACGTAAACGGGGTTCAACCAAAGACATGTGATGCACACAATCAAGCACATTGTAAACGACTTGTTGGGGTCTGTGCGGACAAGGCAGATACATGGTCTTTTTAGGAGTCCCTTGTCTAACAACAACGTTCCATAATGACGCCGCAAGCACCGCACCATACAGATCTGATGGCATCGCTTTGACTGTTAGGCTCCTGTTTTTTTTGTTTTTTTTTACAATGATCACAGCTCACAGACAAAGACAAAAAATTGCATAGTGGGAGCATAGTGATGGTGAGGCTTTTTGCCCTCAGCCGACCTGAGGTCTCGACGTCATGGGGACATAAAACGCACCAAAAAAAAAACCTGTGCCAAGCCTTTAGAAGCACATTCGGATCCACCACATCACTGGGTCTTGCATGTGGTAAGAGAGCTAAAATTCAAATATCAAGCATACGACATACAGTCCTTCACAAGCTTACAGCAGTAGAGCGCAATTGCACCAACTTCACTGCTGTCGGCAATCTCTCCGATTTCGGCCATCAGGTTTTCATAACCTATGATTTCTGCCTTGAAGTCTCCAAGCAGAGGTTCCGGCACAGCTTCGTTAAATTCCTTGATGGCCTGCAACATCAAAACAAACACGAAAAGTAGCAAAACAATCTCTCAGATACTTCAACTTGACAGTCAGCATACGCACTTGACGGGAGTAATATGTTTACAACTTGCGCCGTCTGTACATGCAAATCTCAAGGGACAAGGTCACCAGAAACATCTACTGGCAGGCTGTAAGTATAGTAGAGTAAAGTCTGTCAAGGTGACCACTCGGATAAGGTGACTACCTGTCCCAGAAGACCACTGCAGCCAGGACCAAGTGATGCTATTTCCAGTCAAATGACCCTGGATAAGGAGACCACCTGGTTACAGAGTAGCCCTTTCCCAAAGGTACTCTTTCAATTCACACTTAGTGATTTTCGCGTCCCTCAAAATATGCTGAAAAAGTGCTCTTTTTACAGTGAAGCATGGCCATGATACATGTTCAGATATGAACCCAAGCTGAGAAATGAATACGCACTCTTCCATTTATGGGTCCACGAAAGGCAAAACGGGAAGTAAAGTTAAAAAAAAAAAACCTTTTGCAGCATTGTGTACAAGCTTCACCAACTTGTTGCCCCCCAAAAAAGCGGCGTGCCAAGGCCCATCGAGAACTCGGAGACTGTGATCGCATGCATGAGCAAACAGATTTTAGCACTTTTTCAGCTCAAAAAGCTCAAGAAGGGCGACATGCACCAAAAACGCAATAAAAGGTGAAAGAAACGGGCTTTTCCAAAAAGGGCCAAAAGAGCGAAAAAAAGGGCGAGCACCTTTGGGAAAGGGCTATTACAGAGACCACACTTTGAAAGTCCCTTGAGCAGTCGTCTTAGACAGGTTTCATTGTATAATATGAACCCGGGTTGCATCATACCAAGTAGATCTACCACATACACACTATACACCATACCAAGTACCACATACACACTATACAACATGATTGTGTTCAACTTGCATGAAGATCTGTTAGTGTGACTCAATACATTGCTGATGACAAGCAGAACACAAAACACCAAACATCTGAAGCAACCCGCTTCCGGAGACGCGGGCTCATACCCCAGTATAACAGCTTCTCCATGTCTCGCCGCCAGGACAAGCCGTGAATACAGTGGAAAGCATACTGGCTGAAGATTGGAAAAACTCTCCTGTGCACGGTCAGGTCAAAATATTATAACTTGCATCATTAATCCACCGTCTTCTCCCCAGCTCACCTCATCACGATTCTTCTTCCAGATATCCTGGTAGATGTTGTACTTCTCCAGAGCAAGATCTATGTCCTGTTTGGTGGAGTTGATGGCCGTCGACAGTGAGCTAATCATCTTCTGGACGTCCTTGTTGTCCGCCACGTTGCGGAAGTAGCTCTTCATCATGCTCTTGCCGTCTCCGAATGACACGGTTGACTTGACCAGCTGTGATTGTTCACCAGCGCCGTCCTCCTCTTCGGGAAGAATGATCTTCACCTGTGACTTCTCTCCCAGAACACCTGCAGATGCACAGGGACGGGATGGTTAAAAGCAGGCATAGTACCTATAGTGAGCAGGTTTTGTACATACTGTGAGCAGGCTTTGTGCTTATTGTGAGCAGGAATTGTGCATGTTGTGAGCAGGCATTGTGCATGTTGTGAGCATGCATAGTATTGGTTGTAATCAGGTATTGTATTTGTAGGTGTCAGGCATTGTATGTGTTGTGAGCGGGCATTGTGCACGTTGAGAGGAGGCATTGTGCATCTTGTGAGCATAGATACACACTGATAACAACAGATAGCACTATCACGTCACAATATTCTTGCTTCCCAGCAGATAACTCCCAGTAGGTTGAGAAATTTTGATCAGAGCGTCGCCCTAGCGATAACGGTTGCCTAACAACAGGAGTAGATGGATGCACTGTACGCATGCACTTACCACTCCGGGCGATTGACTGGTCGCTGGCCTGGGCCTTCTTCTTGGACTTTTTGCCACCGATCTTGAGCTTGGCCTGTCGCTGGCCCCACTGCACAACACCCTTGAACGTGTTGAGAATGGTCTGCGCCGTCTTGTTCAGTCCTTGCTGTACTTCGTCGAGACTCGGCTGCATCATGATGCTGGGCATGGCCAGGACGATGTCCGCCCGGAAACAGGCACCCTGTGCGCCACATAAATACGATGTGCGTGTGTGTGTGTGTGTGTGTGTGTGTAGATAAGCACAAAGGGATCAACTCCTGCGGTTAAAGCTGATCTGAAGGGCCCGGTGACCAAACACGGCCCTGTAATCAGTCACACTCGACATAGCCAGTCATACTGCCAGTTGATAAAACAACCGAGCTCAATGTCTATTCACATTTACGGTGTATTTCAGTGTGCTACTGTCAAGATTGTCGGTGTTATCAACTAGTCTTGTGCCAATACATCATACCAATTAATATGTACCTGATTTTGGGAACAGACATTTCAAAAGAGCCTAGTGTACAGAGGGTGGGGAGGGGCAACCCCTCTCAGTGTACACGGGTGGGGAGGGGAAACCCCTCTCAGTGTACACGGGTGGGAAGGGGAAACCCCTCTCAGTGTACACGGGTGGGGAGAGACACCCCACTACAGGGAGCAGGGGTGGTCAGGCTCCCTCCCCCCCCCCCCCCACACACACCACCACCTGCTGACCTTCTTTAAGACCGCCTAAATATATCCCAGCACACACATTAGTGTACTAGTAGACATTACACAGCATATCATAATGTCTTCTCACCTGCGGCTTGCTCTTAGATCCATTCTGTCCACCGTTGTCCCACGAGTTCTCACTGCTGTAGCGACTCGACATGGCCACGCGTCGCTTGATACTGTCCAGTGTGAAGCGTGTCAGTTTCAGCAGAGTATCGACATTCTGCTGTTGCAGTGAATAGACCAACTCAGCAGCTTCCTCGTCCAGGTGTTCGCGGAGTTCCTTCTGTCGTTCAAGAGTAGCGCCGCCTAGTCGTTACAGTGCAACAAAACAAAAAAAACAATGATATTGAAAAATGAGCCGTTTGGATTATATTCCGTATTCCCGCTTTCAAGCACTAATGCCACACTATCTCGACCTGTCCAAGCTAGCCTTTTCCGTGACGATACCGTCACAACTTGAGAGCATCATCACCACCATGCAGACTCGCCGGAAACACATTTACAGGCACACATTTTACAAGAAGTTGTAAGCTCTCTCTCCTCTTTTTGCTAGCTTGTCTCGCTCCTGTTTGCTAGCTCGTCTCGCCGCTATGCATTATTTTCTTCCAATTGTTATATATTCTTCCTTCTTTCTTCTCTTGCCATGGCTGCCTAACGCCTCCTCATTTGTATTGGCTTTTGCCATTGGACGGCGAAATAAATAAGTAAAATAAAATAGATAAAAGACATGGTTCTTACCTGGTGGCAGCTTGCGCCGACTCAAGCTGGCCGCGCTCGGAGCACTGCTGGTGTCCTCGTTCTGTGGTGACCCACCACCGTCTTCACCTTCACCCTGGTCTTTCAGGAAGAGATTTCGCAACTCCAGTACTGCATCTTCAACAAAGTGGCTCTTAGTGTCAAGCAGGATGGCACCAGCCTCACACAGCTCCTGCATGGTTACAACACAGTCATACGGCCATCCAGATCAGGGACATGCTTGCTGTGCACAAGTCAGTCATATGGAAGAAGCCAGCGGCAACTTGTACAGTGGCAGACCCAGCGATCTCTACGGTGGGGTTCCATTTTTTTCCATTTTTTTGATCGGCGCCGGGGGTTCCAGTATAGTCAAAACTGAATAGCTGATACATGTACATGGACACGCATATGCTTGCCAGCAGTACATTTACAAAATTTTGGGGTTTCCGCGGAACCCCTGGAACCCCTCCTGGATTCGTCCCTGTGGTAAGACAGAAGATTGGCAGAATCCTGTACTCGTCTCTATCCATGATGGGTGGAGCACTGATATCACCCCACACATGCAGGTAGACACCCAGATTTGTTGCACTATGAACACAGTTCTACTGCAGTACTGGGATGACAACATAAAACAAGTCAAGGGAGGAGGGGGGGGGGGGGGAGATGTAGGGACGAAGTGCCGATGTACAGAGAGCAACTCAACCGATGTCTACATATGTGTATAAACAGGTAAATTTCTGATCAAAGACAAATGTTCACTCAGTGGTTGCATTCCACCATCACCAATACCACCACTAGCTATGACAGGCAACACTAAGGCTCCTCCCCCCCCCCCCCCACACAGCACCAATTCATTGATGGTGCCAGTACGTCCCAGACTCTCACCTCGGTGCTCTGAGCAAACTGCTCAATGGTCAAGGGCTCGGCTGAAGGCAGCTCGCAGAGCGGAATCTCCTGCATCTCCTGGAAGAGAGCGTAAATCCGATAATTGAGGATGTCCGTAGCTCTGTCGATCAGCTTCTCCAGGACATGAAGACTATCAGTACCACTAGAAATGAACAAGTCGATGTTCAGTGACATCCAGTTTAGCGAGCTCAGGCCCGGCTGCAAGGCGTCGTTCACTTTGTTGATGTGTGGCTCCATCAGCGCTTGCAGGATCTCCGGGATCTTGTCGCAGATGCGCTGCTTCTCGTCCAGAAGTGCCTGCAACACCACATTGCCAATACATCCAAGTTGTAATATTTCAACTCCCACCTTTTGGTGTCCGCTCAAAAATGCACTGCATCACAGTGACTACCGGAAGATCACCGATACATGAAGATTTGAAATGCCAGTGTTTGGCATACACACGATGTTATCATGACGTAATCATTATGTAGCCATGATGTAGTCATGATGTAATCATCAACTTCAACTGTTTGTGGATATGTGTGTGTGTGTGTATGTGTGTGTGTGTGTGTGTGCGCACGCGCGCGCATGTGTGCGTATGTGCGTGTGTGTGTGTGCCAATGCCAGATGTCGATGCATACCTTGAGCCGGTCATAGTTGTTCTTGAAGGTGAGACGGCGAGTGCAGATGGTGTTGACACCTTTGGGCACCTCAAGGCTCATGCGTGACATACACTCGGCCTCTCTGAACAGACTCAGGATCAACGGGTCGAAATTGACGAAGAGCATCTTGGTCTCGCCGTGTAGCACCAGCAGCGACGCCTGCAGACCAATCTTGCAGGCTTCAACCTTTGTGCAGCCAGAGCGGAAGATTCAACAACAGAACCGGAAGCGCAAGATAACCTCAATCATGCAGACAATTGTGACTTTAGCTGAACTACCACCAACCACACACTTGATGGAAATGGTCAGTGAAACCACACGACTAAAGCACTTAGTGGCCTACACACAAGAAGAGGGATAAAATATGAGTCATACTGGTCAGACCTGGCCTAGATGTTTGCGGGTATTGTACTTCCTCCATCATCAGTCACTCTACATTATTACCCCCCCCCCCCCCTCCCTTTCAGGTCTTTGCCAGTTTCCCGGGTTTATGCATTTGAAAGGGCGATAGCCACTGATTACCTTTTATCAATCTGCCTTATCATTTCAACAAACTCACTTGTCACTGGACAGCCTATGTGAACAAGACACCACCTTGACTGGCACACCAATTAGATCACCCAGAAAAGCCACCCAGAAAAGCCACCCTGACAACCCAGCTACACAAGCCACCGATGCAATGTATCCACCTCACCTGCCTCAGCCATGCCTGGTGATAGACCACTTCAAACTCCAGCAGCACCCGGGCAGTCTTGTTATATTTCTTGACGACACGCTTCAAGTCAGGTGTCTGTGCCAACAGCTCCGGAGTGGACGAGCGGAAGGCGTCCATTGGCTCTTGAATACGTCGCAGCAGCTGCTGCGACCATGCTATCTTTCCAGCCATGGGCGGCAGGTTACGCTCGACCGGCGGGTTGTCTTTGAACGCCATGTAGATCCTCTGCACCGTCTCGATGTCATTCATGTAGTGAGCGATTGTGCGATGGTACTTCTCCTTCACGTCCAGCCCTGAAATACCAAGTCTGTACAACACACATAGTAGAAGTCGCAGTAGTATTTGAGCCGTCAGATGCGAAAAGGGTGCTTGTGGCATATTTTGGTCAAATTGAGATAAGGACTCAGGCAAAATCTATAGGCTTTTATGCTTCACCTCCAAAAAACGGACTCAAAAATCCCAAACAAAATGTTTAATTTTTTTTAAAGGGGCACTCCGGCTTCATTTTCGACGCCGAGTTTTCGATGCCAAGACGAAGGTAGGTGAAAGAGAAGACCCCTCGAACAAGAACGAGTCTCCAGAAGCGATCGAGTCGAGCAGGAAGACGACTTTTTGAATTTCGCCGAGCGAGCGCTGATGACGTAATGAGGGATTAGCTTGCCAGTGGAAATGCACCTGCGCACATACATTTTACACACTTTTGGGCCAATTTTCAATCGAAGAGGAGGTTGTTTGCTATGTTCTCCCAACGTCGTGAGCGATCCCGTCTTCTATACCCTTCCAGGTACCCTGAAGGTCCTCCAGACGAGAATTTATCTCCAGCAAAGCGTTGTTGATCCGCTAAATTCGTCTCGAGACATATTCAGTGCTGATGAATGTAGAATGTTGAATCTGTGATAATTGTCGACGATGGAGAGAGAGAGGCTGATAGCCGCTGTCGCAGGGAGAGTGAAGCTGCTGGAAGTAACAATGGGGAGCCCGTTTGTATCATCTGAACAACCAGACTTCAAAGCAGCTTGACCAAATCGGAGGGTGCCTCGTTGCTTATCGTGAATATTACACCGACATGAATTACTACAAGTATACTGGTGAGTTTTTATCTTGTTTTGTTCGTATGCTAGTACCCTGGCCTGGAGTTCTCGTTAGCATATTCCTATTCACTGGCGGTTTCTAAACATTCCGTTTAGTACTGAATACGTGATCAAGTATTCCGATTTGGGTAGATGTGGAATTTGGACATGTATTTTATAAAAAAATTCTATCATAAGTTGCCAAATAGAGAAATGTAGAGAAATGGTTGCCCAAATACAACAAAATTGATTCTGCAGTTCTACAACTTGTACTGAAATCCAGTCAAAGTAAAAATGATTCTTCATGACAGTTGGGGTCAATGAAATCTGATCCAGGCATAACGAATGGTGACGCCTGCCACCCCGGGAACGAATGCCCATTTGGTGGGGGATACCAAAGTACTCGAAAGTGGTGCGTGTTTCAATGTGGCATTTTGGAAGTTTTATATGATCTCTGGTCACTGCAACATACGATAGCCATCATGAATTCCAGGCCTCGAACGCAACTCAGACCAGAATCGGCAGTTCCCTAAGTTAGATGCTTTATAATTCCATGGCCCCAGCCTTAGTTATACCGTAAAATCCCGCCAGAGCGCCCCTACCTCCTCACCGCTTCAGGTGGGGAGGGGCGGATGGGCGAGTCCTACTTGCCGCATTCAGTGCCACATGAAAAAGTACTCACCCTACGAAAACTGTTCGTGCATCTCGTACACCGACCAAAGGTCAAGAGCCAGGAGTAGAACAGATTCGAAAAACGCAGGGTTTGTGCGATCCCTGGTCAGGAGGGTGGGCACTGTTGCGTACATTTCCAACGGGGTCGAGCACACGTCTACAGTGCAGTACGGCATCACAGACTGCGACAGAGTCATACGAGGATACAATCAATCACGTCCCTGACAAGAAGTCAGGGAGGGGCGGATGGGAGAGACGGGGCGCTCTGGCGGGATTTTACGGTCGAGGTTTTTCTTGCACATTATTCTTATAGTCGATAGGTTTATACTGATGGCCACAAACAACGGCAGTTCAAACTTCACTGATGTGTTCATGAGCTGAGAGATTTCTCTCCACTATTTCTGTTGTGCACACAGGTCTGTCCAATATGCATTGACCGTATTGGGTATGGTATCTGCTCTGAGAAGGGAATCGCTGGAGCCACAGTCCAACTATACAGGCTTTCAAGAAACAGAGAGGAGCCATCTTTGCAAGCTGATACCTGATGTGTACCGACAGAATTCTCACGAGATACCTTTCGAACTACGTCTGGTGTATACTTCATAGTACTCCTTCGACTACGGTCTAGAATCAAGTCGACTGAAACAAGTTCAAACAACTCTGGCTTCAAACGAGCCGTCGATTAGACAAACAAAACATTCTCTCATATACTAGAGCACTCTGACAACTCATGACCTATTCCTAACGATTGCCACCGCTTATAAATATGTAGAGTGCTGATTGGAATGTGCTCACAATCTCAACAGTGCTATAATTATTTGAACAATGTGTTATAATATTCCACTTTTCCTTCCATAAATGTTGTATCCACATATAATCCACAGTGCTGCAAAGTTTCAGAGTTCTCAGGGTATCAAACAAAATTATTTCAAATACAGTTAAATTGTTCGTGGACATTATAGCGGAACTTGTAGTCCCCTGGTCCTTTTCTTTGCTATAAATTAATCCTTTGCTCTCTATATGTTGTAGCCGCCGGCGAGTCCAACAGTGAAATTGTTAGTTCATATTTATAATGTGGGAGGGGGGGGGGGGGTTGAACATATTTCTATATATATATAAAGGGACCTGCAACTGTAATACCACAGTACAGTAGCCAGCAAATATGTAGAAAACAGAAATGCATGTTACCATCATTGTACATGGACGGGCGCAGCAGGCCGAAGCTATCAGCCAGAACAGGATTTACAATCACCTAGAGATACTTGAGCTATTCCAGTATTCTCCGTGAACTGTCCCATTCCACAATGGTTCATGCCACCATTATTTCTGGTAGTATCCATGTGCATAATTCCAAGACCATCTCGGATTCTTCAGCAATTTGTGCCACGGCAAAAGACAACGCTTGACTCGGTCACTGGGGCTGTCAAACTTCCCATCACAAATGAACTTCAATTTCTCATCTGTTTCAAGTATGTGTACTGCCATGACTTGACCATGCTTCATCCACAGCTGGGCAAAGATTGTGGCGTTGAATTCCATAGCGCACCTTCTTGCTGCCATCCAGGAGTATGTTGAGAGAAGTGAACATATTTTTACTAAAAAACAACAGCCACTGAAGAGGATAGCAATAGCCTTGGGTGAATTTCCTGCAGGTACACGTTGTTGGTAGGTCTACTGGTCCGTCTCCATATCGTCAAGTTCAGAAATCACCTGTACTACACTACACATCTTGTAGAAGGGATCCTGATCGAATAATTTCTGGTCATAAAATTCACTAAACTGAGGGCGAGACAAATAGTCAGTACTCCCCGATTCCGTCAAGCTGCTTTGAAGTCTGGATGCTCATGTGATGCTAACAAACTCCCCGTTGTTACTTCCAGCAGCTTCACTTTCCCTGCGACAGCGGCTATCAACCTCTCTCTCCATCGTCGACAATTATCACAGATTCAACATTCTACATTTATCAGCACTGCACTGGGTGAATATGTCTCAAGACGAATTTAGCGGATCAACAACGCTTTGCTGGAGATAAATTCTCCTCTGAGAGGACCTTCAGGGTACCTGGAAGGATATAGAAGACGGGATCGCTCACGACGTTGAGAGAACATCGAAAACAACCTCCTCTTCGATTGAAAATTGGCCAAAAAGTATGCGAAATGTATGTGCGCAGATGCATTTCCACTGGCAAGCTAATCCCTCATTACGTCATCAGCGCTCGCTCGGCGAAATTCAAAAGTCGTCTTCCTGCTCGACTCGATCGCTTCTGGAGACTCGTTCTTGTTCGAGGCGTCTTCTCTTTCACCAACCTTCGTCTTGGCATCGAAAACTCGGCGTCGAAAATGAAGCCGGAGTGCCCCTTTAAAGGGGAACCCTATAGACGGTGTCGTCTTATTACAGGGAACCCTATGAATGATTGACACAATTGAACAAACTCTCCGAGCGTACATGCACAACAAAAACATGGAGAGTGTGAAGCCGTTGAAATACAATGTCCAACGAGCGACCAAGTTGTAACAATATGGTAAAAAATACACAATGTACATGACTACATTTGACTGTCTGAGATTGAGAATATATACTTGACCCATGTACACTTCTGCAAACTTACATACCATACCATGGACTAGCCTCTCAGTAATATATTCAACATTTAGACCTGCACCATGTTCACAGCTGTCAGGACTGATGTCACGCTATGCACACCCATAAGTCTCCTAGTATAGCCATACTGTAGGACAGTGTGCACGCACTGTTAGAACACCGGGACAGTTTGGAGAAGGGCAATATGATGAAGGTCATGACGCCGCGAGGCGTACTCACAGTTCGTATTTCTTGATGCGCGCCAGAGCTCGCTGCGTGGACGGGATCTTGTCAAACTGCTGGTCCATCAGCACCTGTACTTGATTCTGTTCATAACAACAACAAAAAAACAGGGATATAATTATACAGACAGTGTCAGATTTCAC